TTTTTCCTCTCTCTCTCTCTCTCTCCAAGATAAAGCACATTGTAACATCTTTACCATTTTATCTCTTTGCTTGGCCTCTTCATCCCTTAATAGTCTTATCTTGATCAAGACCAATATATCACAACACTAACACGGAGCTTTTTGCAGGATGCTTCTGGAATATTCTGGGACAACGACAGTTTATCAGCTCTACTAGCGCTCGAGCTAAAAGCTGACCTTCTTGTTCTTTTGAGTGATGTAGATGGTCTATACAGTGGTCCACCTAATGATTCCCGTTCTGAATTAATTCATACGTACATTAAAGAAAAGCATGAGAGAGAAATAACTTTTGGAGACAAGTCTAGGGTGGGAAGAGGGGGGATGACTGCTAAAGTAAAAGCTGCTGTTTATGCTGCTTATGCTGGCATCCCTGTTGTTATCACCAGGTAACCTGCCTTGTTGTAAAAATTGCCTATTTTATCTTCAGAAACTTCTTGTTATTTGTTATGCTGTGCATCCCTCTTGCTATCACTTCTCGTAACTTGCAATCAATCTATGCAGTTTCCTCTATAAGTAGTTCGTTTTGATAATAATGAGTTTGATTGTCCAGGAAATAAGTGCACTACTAATACATCAATTACAGATTATTCATTACAAGACTCCATTGAGTCCCATATTAGTGATATTTGAGCTGGTGTGGCCACTAAAATTGTAACTCTGTTAATGGAAAATTCAAGAAAGAATGCACAGTATTTGATCTCGAATTTTTTGTGATATGAATGCATAAATCTAACCGTGATTGTTTGTATTAAAAATTGCATTTTTGGATAAGGATTTTCTGTATGAATCAATGCTTCAATTTTGTAATATAAGTGGAGCTTGTGAGAAAGCTAATGACATCTTGGTCTTGCACACTTCAGGTTTTTTACTTGGAAATGTCTTCATTACAATTATGCTTAAATAGGCTGTAACCTTCACTTACCCTACACAGAGAGATCATCTGAATCCCAGTACATATACAAACTCATTGAAAGTTTTCGAGATCATTTGCTTCTTGAAATAAAATTTAGATTGGGTTGACTTTCCTATATGTTGGTACTATCATGCTAGACTTGAGTTATGTGTCTACTTTATCATTTCGAGAATCTGATGCAAGGAGATTCACCTTTTAAAAGTAAAATTTTTATTTGCACATTGTTAATGTTTGTAGTTTATTTCCTCTGCGTCCTATATAGTCGATTTTACTCATTTATGCTCCTCATTCGATGAAGTGGTTTTGCTGCTGATAATATCATAAAAGTTCTAGACGGAAAGCGTGTTGGTACGCTGTTCCATCGGGATGCTAATAAATGGGTCCCACAAGGAGAAGTTGGTGCGCGTGAAATGGCAGTGGCAGCTAGAGAAAGTTCAAGGCGATTGCAAGTAAATCCTATATAATAGTTGTTTCTGCTTAAAAAGAGCAAGTTCAATAAATAAGCATGCCAATATTTTGCCTCAGGCTATGCCTTCACAAGAGAGAAGTAAAATTTTGCTAGATGTAGCAGATGCATTGGAAGCAAGTGAGAAGCTAATAATGGAAGAAAATGAAACTGATATTGCAGAGGCTCAGCTTGCTGGATATGAAAAATCTTTGGTTTCTAGGCTGGCCTTGAAACCTGGTAAGGTATGGCACTAGGTTTTCTTTCCACAGAGGTGTGCTATTAAACTGTCAATTACTCTCTTTCTCTCTAAAGTAACTCTCTCTCTCTCTCTCTCTCTCTCTCTCTCTCTCTCTCTCTCTCTCTCTTCCAGATTAAAAGTCTTGCAAATGCTATCCGCATGCTTGCTAACATGGAGGAACCTGTTGGTCGAATTCTGAAAAGAACAGAGGTTAGAATATGATGTATAAAGATCTCTATTTGCAATGTGCCTGGTGCTACTGCTACATGGGAAATCTAGAAGAATATAACCGAAAGAAGCTATTGCCTTTAGAGGACTTGCTAAACGATCTTATCTAATTGACGAATGTAGGATTTAGGCAATGCCCTCCTAAACTCGAATGCGCCACTTCAGATTCTTGCAAAATAATGATAATGACTGTCCAACGTATTGAGCCTCACATTCCCCATATGATTATCATTCAAATTAGAAAAAACTTAGCTGTATTATGGTGCCCATGGAAATAGAGCTTGCAAACTTTCTGAATTAATATCCGCCCCGGCTGATTTTTCCTTCGTTTTTCCTTTTTGTCTTCGTATGGTCCAAAACTGCAGAGCTAACTTGCAGTTGAGATCAGATTACCTTGCAGATGACTGACTTACATTGTCCTGATTAATTTGTCGTAATGATCTTGTACTTTTAGCACTCTCTAAAAATGTTATAACTATATTCTGGTTGTGATATTCTGAAAGTAACTTCATGCAGATTTCAGAAGGATTCATATTAGACAAGACGTCATCTTCCTTGGGCGTTCTCTTAATCATATTTGAGTCCCGACCTGATGCCCTTGTTCAGGTAAATTATATCAACTTTGCTATATTGTTGTTCTGCATATAGGTTCTATTTGTTATTCTTGTTTTTTTTGTTTTTTTTTTCTTGATTTTTTTTTTCCCTTCTCTTTTCATATCTATTTATCAAATGCTCAAGCAGGATATCATTCTGTCCAGATTAATTGAACCTCACCCCCTTCAAAGTTTTTTCTTGTGATTAATGACTCGAAGTACTCCATTCTTTCAGTCATACTTCCCACTTAAATTACTTGGAAGTTTCTCTATAAGTTCTACTGTCATGCTTTAGTCGGTATGTCATGTTTTAGTCTGTATCTGATATATAAAATTTTAAATTATCATTATTTGCCAAAGGTAATTTAACTTGTAGAGTGCAACACTAGGGGTGCTAATAAAAAGTTTATATCTATTTGCTTGAAAAAAATAAAAATAGAATTTTTTGTTTTAAATTTTACATATAATAATTACATTATTAGTATTTATCTTAATTTGACATGCGTCACTTTTACGACTTACCTCCCTATATTATATTTTTCTCTAATTCATATTATATAATGAATTTGACAAATAAATTTTTTCCATTGATAAATAGTTAATTTTTTTTACCATTAATATTGATAGATACTTTAATTTTTATTATATAGGAAAATATATATTTACTTATATATGCAATATGGATGTCAAATTGAAGTTTTCAAAAGATTTTTAATTTGACATGTAATACGTGAAATCTGATTATGAATATGAAAGTTATCAATTCTAAAATATATTTATAATTTAATTTAGCCAAATGTTTTTAGTTTCGAAAGTACTAGTTTGGCATGGATGAATTCTAGATCTATATAGACTACTCCAGACCACCATAAATTGATATATAGGATAACGGAGTACCAAAATTCGACACTTAGGTTCGGGAAACTCTGCAATTTTATATATGGAGGGGTTAGAAAGTAATGGTTTTTAACCTGTATCTAGTGTTCCCGGTGGCAGTGAGATAGTAAACACAACTATAGAAAGACACATTGTGATTGCAGAAACATTTGTTAGATGGTGGCCGTCCTATCCTTTTTTTGTTCATAATAACATATCAAAGTTGAAACCTGGGAGCTATTATTGGAATCCATGAGGCTAAACTACCAAGTACTGAAGTCATTTAAGTAATTGTTCAAATGAATTCATGGTCATCCTTGACTTTTGATAGATAGCATCATTGGCACTGCGAAGTGGCAACGGACTCCTTTTGAAAGGGGGAAAAGAAGCTAGACGGTCCAATGCAGTCCTACATAAGGTTTAATCAAAGATTATTGGAATTTCGGATTTTGTAACCTAATATTCTTATCTGTAATTTAGTAGATCGGACTTTAGTGTGTTTCTATAACTCTAGTTACTTTTTACCCATAGGTAATTACTTCTGCAATTCCAAAAAGTGTTGGGGAACAACTCATTGGACTTGTGACATCCAGAGAAGATATACCTGAATTACTCAAGGTGGATTCATTTTAAATGTGTTTTCTTTGATGATTACAAACCCTATATTTACATGTTGGAACTAAGTTTTATGTTTCTCTTGAAGCTGGATGACGTAATTGATCTTGTGATTCCAAGAGGCAGCAACAAGCTTGTTACTCAAATTAAGAGTTCAACAAAAATTCCTGTTCTGGGCCATGCTGGTAATCCGTGTTTTCACTTTATTTAAGCTAGATATATTAATGTTTTGAGTTTTTCATTTTAAAAAATACGCATTCAAAAAATTAATTAGAGGATTTTTTTTTTTTTTTTTTTTTTTTTTTTTTTTTTTTTTTTTTTTTTTTTTTTTTTTTTTGCAGATGGAATATGTCATGTGTATGTAGATAAGTCTGCTGATAGGAATATGTCAAAGCAGATTGTTCTGGATGCAAAAACGGATTACCCTGCTGCCTGCAATGCTATGGTGTGTGCTGGAAATCATTAAATCATTTGTAATCTTATGCATTTTATAATGCTTGATAGAGACTTAATCACCCTGTTTCTATTCTTAAGGAAACGCTGCTTGTTCATAAGGATTTGGTACAGGATGGCAGCCTAAACGAACTTATAGTGGAGCTTCAAATTAAAGGTTTGACTTCTTTGGCAGCTTCTTTTACCCTATTTATCAATGGGTGGTATGATTAATAAGTGACTTCTGGAAATATCTATTCTATTTGAACCATCAAACACCTATTATCATTATCAACTAAAATATACTTTGGAATCACGTTTCCATTTGAACAGTGCTCTTAGACAACTGTTAAGTCGGTTTGAGGATAATTTCTTTCCTAATTACAAATCAGTCATTAATTATATGTCCACTGTGGGGTTGACTCTGACACGAACTGATTTTGACTTCCAGTCAAATGATTATCTTCTGCCTAGTTGTCTCATCTGTTAAATAAATGCTAGATTTTTTATGCACCCTTTTTGTTAGGATATTTAACCTGTAGGGGCATAAGTTCAATAACTAAGGTGCTTGGCTATATGTCGCACAGTTCCCACTTGCTGTGTCCATATTAGCATTGATTTGCCCAAACATGGTACGTGTGCTGAAGTTGGAACAGAAAACCTAATATAGTCATGTGAAGCATCTTGACCTTACAACAGAGGTGAACAAAGTCTACATTTTTCAGGTGTCACAGTATATGGCGGACCTCGAGCAAGCTCTCTACTCAATATTCCAGAGGCCAGTTCATTGCACCATGAATATAGTTCTCTAGCATGCACAGTAGAAATTGTGGATGATGTAAATGCTGCCATTGATCATATACATCAGCATGGAAGGCATGTTTTGTTTTTTAATCTTTAATCTTGTGTAACATCTGGCTTCCTTGTCAATATGAGTGCTGCACAGCTGCACATCAAACAATAAATTCTTTCTTGATGGCAGTGCCCACACAGACTGCATTGTGACAGAAGACAATGAAGTTGCTGAGATCTTTTTACGACAAGTTGACAGGTATGTCTCTTACTGGTCTCTTACATCACATTGCAGTCACGCTGTAAAAATCTGAATCCAAAGTGAATTTTTGTACAATGCAACAAATGTGAAGATTTGCATAATGAATATGAGAATGACTTTTGCTCCTTTCTCTTTTGCTCCAATCTCTTCCATTTGTTTTGTTTTTGTTTTGAGTTTTGTTTTGTTTTTGTTTTTGTTTTGTTTTGTTCTGTTTTGAGCCTTTTTTTTTGTGTTTTTTTCTTACCACTGTTTCTCTTGGGTTTCATCTCTAGCCTACCCCAACTTGTTTGGGACTAAAAGGCTTTGTTGTTGTTGTTGTTAATCTTTCAGTGCTGCGGTATTTCACAATGCGAGTTCAAGATTTTGTGATGGCTTTCGTTTTGGATTAGGTGCAGAGGTATGCTGTGCATGTTTGGTTTTTGTACTTTTTATTTTCCGTCTTGAGTAATGGCAATGCTATCTCATGCACCATTCATTACTAAATAGGTTGGGATCAGTACAAGTCGCATTCATGCTCGTGGTCCTGTTGGTGTTGAGGGGTTGCTTACAACACGGTGGTATGTCTCCAAATGCTCTGCGCTCGTAACAAATTCATTGATTCTCATTGATTCTTGTAGGTCCATATTAATTGTAGCAGTAGACGTGAACTATCACAAACTCAGGACACTACAAAAAGTCCTTGACATTTATTATTACCGTTCTTCCCTCTGAAAAGGAAAAACAAAATTCCATTATCTCCGATCTTCAATACAAGCCATTCCACCGAGATTCTATTTACTGAACAACTGTCAATGCAAATTACAATATGGGAACAAATATCAAGGGTGTATTATAATTCTGCTGGATAGCTCTGACTTGTTCTGCAATTAGACTCAACTTCATGGCTAATCACCAACATATGTTAATAGTCTTAACTGATTAATTAAGCTTGATGGTTAACACTCTCATTCATGGTCTTATGCAGGCTTGCAAGAGGCAGTGGACAGGTGGTTAACGGCGACAAAGATATTGTGTACACTCACAAGGACTTGAGTCTGCAGAACTGAGACGTAAAAAGACCAATTGGACCTATCAAGTGGCTTATGTGGCATTATTCATCTGCTTATCACAAACTTCCGTGGGATGGCTTGGCCACACAGCCATATCCGATTGTATTATATAGCATTTATATATTGGCATGAATAAATGAACCGGCATTTCATATATTATTAGAATAAGAACTTGCATGAGCACATAATGTATGATTGATGTAAGTTTGGTGGGTTAGAAATTATATGCAAGTTTTCGGTTTTAGCCATTGGCGTATTTCACAAAATCAAGTTCATTATAAAACTTAATTTCTATCATAAATGCGAGAACGAGAATACACAATGAATAAGAAAGGCATGGCCAAGATATGCATCAAGGTTAACAGAATTAAACACCAGCTAGAAATTTTCAAATAAACAATTTTCCCTCTGTGCAGTTCATCAAGTGCAAAAGTTTTATAAGGGATCCAAACTAGCTAAGATCTAGATAGTACGAATGCAGATTCATAGAAAATAGATAGATAACAATTTAAAAACTTGTTCATGAGAAACTCCAAAGCGGACGAATTTCTCAATAATCCTCAGCAAATTAAGCCTCAACAAACTTCTGAAGGTTCTTGAGCCACTCTGTGTACTCCCTTGCATCTTTGTTGGTCATGTAGTCCACCAAGAAATTGGTTGTTTTGGCCTTGATTCCTCTGATCTCGAGATACTTGTGGAAAGCCTTCTGCAGATTCTCATCCAAATCCCTATCGAAATATGCAAGCCATTTGAGTTAGAAAAAAAAATATATATAACATGGAAATCATCACATAATCATAAAAATCTATAAATAGTTAAATACTAATGGAATAAATCCTATACATAGTGATGTGCACACCTTAGGGGAGTATCAATTCACAACTTCTAACTAAAAAACAACCAAGAACATAAGAGAAGTAGCATGCATCAAAGAGATCTCCAATGATCATACAAATCCAAGCATTTCATTTTTTCTACCAGAGTTTGTCATAACAAACTATAATTACAAAACCCATCAGTTATTTCACCAAAAATATCCCTCGGGGTTCGAATATAGAATGTTTCCAAAAGGTATATGGTTTTCTTCATTTCATTTTAAGTTTAACATACTTCAATAAAACCTAGTGGGTTGTACTTTTAATCAAAATTTGAACGAATATAGAATGTTTCCAAAAGGTATATGGTTTTCTTCATTTCATTTTAAGTTTAACATACTTCAATAAAACCTAGTGGGTTGTACTTTTAATCAAAATTTGAACAACACTTACGCAAAATCGGGTCCTTCGTAAGCAATCTGTTCCTCATCGACCTCGGGATCTTTGACAGCCAAGCTGTCAATGACAATCTCATCAGAGTAAGCAGTACAGCTGAACTCCAGAGCAGGTCCACTTTTCTTGGAGATTCTAACAACCAATGGGATGTTCGGACCACTTGCTGATTCTTCCTCATCATCGTCATCATCCTCATCATCATCTTCATTGCCAGTGAGGTCAGGCGTGTGAACTTCAACAGTTACTTTTTCTCCTTGATAGTCTCTGCTTAGTGTTACAGTTTGCTGCCCAGGATGGTCTTCAATTTTAAAAGGGAAATCCGCTGGGACCTCCTCTGGCTGTAAAACAAAGCAAAATGAGAAAAAAAAAAAAAAAAGCACCGGTAAGGAATAACTTGAGCAACTTGGCAAGCTTCGCCAGAAACAACAATAACAATGAACTTAAGCAAATTATTATGCATAATGGTTTGACTAATTAAACAGAGGACTCCAATGATATTATGAACATAATGAATAAGATTTGAACAGTGGCCTTTACCTCTATACTATACATCTTGTAAATGCTAAAAGAGATAGTTTTAGACCTCTCATAGATTTTTGAGTCCATGAAAGGGGATAACCACACAAACATGTTTGTACTTTATGTTGAAATAGATCAAAGCAAACTCGAAACATAAAAAACGATGGACAAATGATTTCTCATCTAGAGACACACTATGGGGTGTATAAAAACAGCAAAAAATGGAAGTACAGAACAGTATGAAATGTAGCCAAAGTAAGATTAAGCAAATTTAGATAAATTTCAAATTTGTAAGAGATGCACCACAAAATAGATACACAATACTTATCATCCTTGATCAGCATCAGTACAGATTTTCGGCAAAATTCAACTGTTTCATCTATCAAACAAACCCCAATGAAAATGTGTCCGCAGCACAAACAAATAGATCCTTTAACAAAATCCAAGTTCTCGTAAAAATTACCATGGCAAGATACAAAAATCAATAAAAAAAAAATATCCAAAACCCATTTGGCAGATAAAAACTAACAGAGAAACAAAGTAGACAAACACGTAGAAGAGTCCATAGACACATTAAATGAGAAGTTAACAGTAACAAACAGAATTCAAACAAAAGCTACTAAAGAGAGACGTCGACCTCGTTCCCTGCCTCAGACTCCTCGGCGCACTTGACCTCGTATTCGATAACTCGGAGGAGCGCCGCATCAGACTCGGCTTTGGTAGAAAAACGGTGGATAAACGACGGAAGCGACCTCCGCAAAAGATTAGTCGAGGGACAGTTGACGGCGGAGAACAACTGTGCTGGAGAGGCGTGGTGGTGCAGGCACCTTTGACCTCCAGCGGAAGCCCTGATGACCAAAGGTACAACTCTCGAAGCTGCTCTGCGGATCGCGTTGTTTAGAGCCATTTTTGCAATTCGCTAGAGGAACAGACGAAAGAGAGAGAAGGGTTTGGAGAGTAAGGGAAGCGGCAGGGGTTTAGCTAGGGTTTTAGGCGGCAGGGGTTTTCATTTTATAGGACAGTGGTGCCTTGGTGAAAAAGTTGTCCATTCTCATAGCTCTTGTGGCCGTAAATTATTTAGATAAAATCTTTGCATTTCATTTATTTTTTTTTTATTTAATTGCTTAAATCACACAAGTATTGGTTTGATTTGGAGTTCACTCAACCTCTTCATTTGTCCTCTCTTTTCTTACAACACATTTTGTAATTTTCTCGCAGGAGAGTTTAGAATTCTCTCGTCAGAGAGCCTTAATTCCATCGACAGGAGCGGCCCTTTTCCGTCATCGGACGGGTCTTTCTTTCAGATCTCTCAATCAGTATTCTATTCTTTCTCTTATCCTCTATCATCTGTTAAAATCGCTCTTCATAGGGTTTCGACGAGAGATTCAATTTGGGGTTTCTCAATTGTATCGGGCTCCTTTAGCCATGGGTTCGTCCGATGACATTACGGGAAGATTAAAAGCCTTCTCTATTTCAGAAAAAGAATCAGCCATCATAAAATTGGGGGAAGGAGATGTTCAAACCAGCGCAGCTGAATGTGATACAAGCCTTTTCGGTAAAATAATCGGGGAGAAACGAGCTAGCCTGGTGGGACTCAAGAAAGCCATGAATAGCATCTGGAAAATTCAGAATACAATAGAGGTGCGAGAACTTGGTTACAACTTCTTTCAATTCATATTTTCCAACAAGGAAGACATGAGAAAGGTGGAAAATGGTACAAACTGGTTATTTGAGAACCAATACCTGATTCTGCAACATTGGAAAAAAGGTATATCTGCTAACCATGAAGGCTTCAATTACCTTAAGCTATGGGTCCAAGTCCACAAGATTCCACTGAACTGGATAACTACGGAGGTGGGCCTCAAGGTAGGAAGAATTTTTAAAGAAGTCTCCAATGCTATAGTGGTGAACTCAGTATCTCAAGGAGGCAGATTCATAAAGATCCTAGTGACTATTGATCTCTCAGAGCCCCTGCCACGATTTACTAATAATAGGCTGAGAGATCAACAAGTCACAGTTGAATTCAAATATGAACGGCTCGTTGGCTTGTGTTTTTATTGCGGCAAGGTGGGCCATATTGAAAAAGCTTGTGCATCAAGGGTGAACGATATAGCTAAGAATGAACTCAGGGAAGGGCAGTTTGGCGATTGACTCAGGGCTTTGGATGCTGCAAGTGGAGCCAACTGGAACACTACAAGCTCCACATCAGATAAAACAAAATCAACGCATTCAAATCCAAATGATGTTCTTCCAACAGTAAGAGGCTTGGGTACATCATCAAAGTCCTCTCCTTCTCAACAATCGGGAGTCATTAAACAACCAATAGCCACTGTTACTCAGAATGTTCTTATGGAAGAAACAGATAATTATGTTGCTTAAGTTGACAATGGGGTACAAGAAAAAAAATCACTTGAAGGTCCTCACCACAGCAGGCCAGTAACACTCACGCAAGTACATGATCTGACTATGTTGGACTCCTCAAAACATCTAGACCCAGCAGAAACACATCCGAGTGAAAAACAAGTCATCCAAGGTTCGGATAATCAAGAGGAGGACCTGCCAGCACAACAACTCCCTAAAACTTTGGTGGCACAACCAAGCACCTCCACCAGAGGAACATGGAAAAGATCTCCTAAAGCTGAAGCTAATCTGCAAAGAAACCCAAACGATTCCATTATGATGACTCAACCTACAATCAAGAGGAGTAGAGAAGACATAAATGACATGGATCCAACTGAGGAAACACTTTCAACTACCAACAACCAAGGTAAAAAACCAAAACTTTTTCTGGAAAGGGAAGTGAGGGCCAGCCCTAAAAGGTCCTCGCAGTATAAATGAATGCTCTGGTGTGGAACTGTAGAGGTTTGGGTGGACCCTCTACAGTTCCCCAGCTCAAGGACGCCATAAGGTGCCACCACCAAATTTCATTTTCCTCTCTGAGGTTAAAAAATAAAAAAAATTCACTACTTCAGTTTGTAAAAAATCTGGTTTTGTTAGTAGAAACTATATTGTTGAGCCCAGGGGAAACAGTGGGGGCCTTTTGCTATTATGGGATGATAAAGTTCAGATAATTTCTATATACAGTTCTTATTTTTTTATTGCTGTCAACTTTATCCCCAATCCTGGGGAAGCTGTTTGTTGATCTGTATTTGTGTATCTCAGCTCTTCAAAGTCTAAAAGAGAAATCCAATGGGCAACTCTCATCAGAGAAAAGGAGAAGTGGGGACACATCTAGAGCATCTCTGGAGACTGGAATGATCTCCTCATACCCGCTGAAAAAAAGGGTGGAAGACCAAGACCTGCTAGAAGTCTCACTGGTTTCAGAAATTTTGTAGCAGACATGGGGATGCAAGAAGTTCCTCTGAAGGGCCATCAATTTACCTGGGGAAATAATAGAGAGGGGGAAGGATATGTGGAGGAGAAACTGGACAAAATGTTTGCTTCCTTGGGATGGCTATCTACATACCCAAATTCAAAAGCCACTAGCCTATTCAGAAGCTTGTCAGATCATCACATGCTCATACTCTCAACAGAATCTCATCAGCATCTTAGCAAAAGAAGATTTCAATTCGATAGGAGGTGCCTAAAACAAGAAGGGCTGTAGGAAGTCATCAAAGAAGCATGGAACTACAATCCTGGTGGAACCCCAATGTTCACAGTTAAGGACAAAATAAAAAAAGCAAGGGTGGCACTTCTTAAATGGAGCAGTTATTTCAGAGCTGTTAGCAGAAACAACATTCCCAGTCTCACTTTGAGTCTTGAAGAAATGAGGAAAGAAGGTGGGGACAGAAACTGGGCAAAGTGGGACGAACTAAAGAAAGAGCTGGATGAAGACTTATGCTCTGAAGAAATGTTTTGGCAACAAAAAGCTCGAGTTCTCTGGTTGAAAGAAGGAGACAAAAATTCTAAATTTTTCCACGCTTACACCCTTTAGAGAAGAAAGACTAATGCCATTGACAGGCTCCTAAATGAGAATAATGAATTCTGTGAAAATATGAAAGAGATTGAGAGGGTAATCACCGACTATTATTCTCAACTGTACACCTCTCAAGGATCAACACAAGGCCACACGCTATTGCCACTAATTCAGAATAACATCTCTGCCCAAATGAATGAAGAATTACTTTCTCCGGTCACTGAAGCAGACATCAAGAGAGCTTTTTTTAGTATGCACCCCGACAAATCCCCGGGGGTTGACGGCATGACCGCTCTATTTTACCAACACTTCTGGCCACTTGTCAAGGAAGATATATGCAATGTTGTACAGAGCTTCTTTGCCACGGGTCAAATGCTCAGGTATTGGAAACACACTCTCATTACTCTTGTTCCAAAGTGCCCAAACCCTACTTCCCTGTCTCAATTTAGACCTATTAGCCTATGTGCAGTGTTCTACAAAATCATTTCGAAAATTATTGCACTAAGGCTGAGGAACTGTTTACCTGCATGTATTTCTGAAACACAAGCTGCTTTCTTACCCTGGTAGACAACTGCTCGATAATGTCGTTATTGCCCATGAAGCTTTTCATTTTCTAAACAGGCATAGAAGTGGGTGAAATTATTTTCTGGCTTTAAAACTCGACATGGTCAAAGCTTTTGATAGGCTCGAATGGAAAAGCATTCAATTAACTATGCTAAGAATGGGATTTCACCGTACTTTTGTAAAATGGGTAATGGCCTGCATAACTTTTCCCTCTTTCTCTTTTAATATAAAAGGGCAGGCCTCTGGTTACATCACAGCCTCGAGGGGAGTTAGGCAGGGGGACTCTCTGTCCCCTATCTTTTTATTCTAACTTCTGAATTATTGTCTGCAAGGATTTTTTCTGAGGCTTCAAGAGGAGGTTTTAAGGGAGTAAAGCTTTGCAGGGGTGGCCCAGAGATTTCCCACCTCCTATTTGCGGATGACTTGTTGATATTCTGTAAGGCTGAAGTATCCCAAGCCCAGAAATTACTTCACATTCTTAATGACTATTATCTTTTCACAGGCCAGCAGGTAAATTTTGGTAAATCCACTATTTTCTTCAGTAAGAACACTCCACAAGACATTCAGCACCTATGTTGTCAAATTCTACATGGCATCAACCAGCACACCTCCACTAGATATTTGGGCCTGCCTTTGGGCATAGGCAAATCAAAAAGGGAAGCATTTTCATATGTTCTTTCAGTGGTAAAGAATAGAATCCAAAGCTGGAAGAACAAGTGGCTCTCCACCGCAGGAAATGAGGTTTTAATAAAAGCAATGATAAATGCTTTGCCCGTATTCACTATGTCCTGTTTTATGCTCCCTAAAAGCCTCTACAAAGAAATTGCTAGTGTTTGTGCAGGTTTCTGGTGGAGTAAGGGGGAAAATCTCAACAGAGGGATCCATTGGAAGGCATGGGATCAAATTACCCTTCCCAAATCATATGGCGGTTTGGGATTTCAAGATATACAGCTTTTCAATGAGGCCTTGATTGCTAAGCAAATTTGGAGGCTCCTCACTCAACCAGACCTCCTGGTAAGTAGAGTTATGAAATCTAGATATTATCCTGACACCTCAATTTTTGTGGCTCAAAAGAAAAATAATGCCTCTTGGCTATGGCATAGCTGGTTGAAAGTCAAAGACTCTTGCGATAAGTGGATGATATCAATTATCAGAAATGGAAAGGGAACCAAAATCACTGAAGACTTTTGGGTTCCTGAGCTGAAGGGAAGAAGATTAACTTTCATTCATGGTGCTGGATCAAACTTGAAGTGGGTCAGAGATCTCATGATACCTGATGGCAGTGGATGGGATGTTAACATTCTTAAACAGAATTTCTCCCAAGAAGATTGTCCAGCCATTCTAAAGATCACAAATATAAATCCGGATCTAGATGATAAGTGGATCTGGTGTCAGGACAAGAAAGGAATTTTCTCAGTGTCTAAGGTGTACTCTTATCTCATCAAGCAGAAGCTACTCAGTAGGGACATAGCCCAAAGCAGCTCTTCATTTATGAAGGACCAACGTGCGAGAAACAAGATGTGGAAACTTAAAATCAAAGGTAAAATTAAACATTTTTTATGGAAATGCGTTTCTAACATATTGCCTGTAGGTGTGAACCTGCTTAAAAAAGGTATGGTGGTCGATCACATTTGCAAAATATGTGGATTAGCTAAAGAGACAATTGAGCATGCTCTATTTTCATGTAAGGCTCAATTAGTTTGGAAATTATCCCTTGTTCAATGGGACTGGCCAAAAAATACAGATTCGTTTAAGGATTGGTGGTGGCACATCTCCTCTCTTAATCATAGGGACATTTCTGAAGCCCGAATACAACTTTCCACTTACATACTATGGTGGCTTTGGAAGTCCCGAAATCTATGGGTTTTTGAGAACACAGAAAGGCCGACCCAACTCGTTGTTACTGCTGCTATTAATGATTGGAAAGAATACGAGATGGTTCACCGGCAAGTAATTAAGCTTGGAGGAAAGAAGGCAATGATACCGATGGTCTAGGGTCTATGATCAGTGGAAGTCGTGTTTTTGTTCTTCTTTCTTCTGGTTTTATTATTCTGTAATTGTTTAGGGGTTTTTAGGACTCAATTTGCTCTTATCACTGCCTATGAACCCCAGGATATTATTTTGGTTATTTGCGTAAGTATTTGTAGGCCACCTGCGAGTGGTTCTCTCTTGTTACGGCTTCAGACTTGGTTCGTCTTGTATTCAAACTCTGGTTTGATTTATTTGAGTAATTCTATCGTTTCAACAAAAAAAAAAGATTTGGAGTTCACTGGAATTCAATGATTTGCCACCTCGATAAAAAAGAAATTAAAATTAGAGAAATTAAATTTTGGAAAAAAAAACACCTTCAAGCTCGAAATATACAACAAATATCAATTGTATTGAATTTTGTCATTTATACTCCTTTTATACTTCTAAATTGAGATAAAAACATTGGGAAATATTGTAGTCCTGTTACGGAATTATTTCATCGGGGTTCGTAACCGTTAGATCAACTAGCCCCGACGGTTACATGATGATCTAACGGTTATAAAATCCGACAGAATGATTCTGTAACGGACCGTAGTGTTTCCCAAAAATATTACCATCCATGTTTTCCAGTTTAAAGAAAAATGTTCCTAAATACAAAAATAAAATGGAAAGAACCAAATATCATTAACACATTTATGCTAGGTCATTGTCATGTATGACCCATAACACAAAATTAAAGTGGTATGAGATTAGCATATCATACATATAATTAAAGTATGTGATTATCATAAACTGATAATCCTGCTTCAAGCACATAACTTCTCATCATCCTTCAAATTAAATCCATAAAAATGGAGAAAAAAAAAATACCAATGTCCAGAGCAACAAAATAGTTTATTTCTATTTACTCACCACATTACACATTGTACACACAACCCACAACCTTCATAAGCCCAAACAGACACAGACCATTCAAAACAGTACTCAGATTCTACAGTTTACCCAATGCACGATTCAGACACACCCACACACACACACACACACACACAAAAAAAAAAAGGAAAAAGCAGACCAGATGCCAATCACAAGGATAGAACTAACAACTATTACCATTCACCAGTGAACCTCACTCACATCACTATCTCTGGCTTCAAGATGCTCGACTTGATCTCCTTGTGAGGCAAAACCACCCCTCCGTTACTATAAACTTCATCCCCAACATGAACATCCTCTCCAAGTATCGTCATATTCTCCACGCGGGCCCACTGCCCCACCGTCGAGTGCCAACCGATGATACTGCTCGAGATGCACGCGTGCTTCTTGATGCGGACTCCTCGCATAACTGTGCAACGGGACAGCCTCACGCCCGACTCCACCACACAACCCGGCCCGATCGCAACATCAGGCCCAATCAAGCAACCATCCCCGATTTTTGCACTCTCATCCACCAAAACATTTCCGATTATGTGGGCCCCTGAGGCCAACTTCTGGGCCGACTTCTTTCTCAAGGAGTTCAAGTAAAGCCTGAGTCCTGTGATGTAGTCTCTTGGCTGCCCGATGTCCATCCAGAAACCCGGGAGAACCATTGCGTACAGTTTTTTCTCGGCTGCTATATTTGGGAAAACCTCTTTCTCGATTGACGTGGGCCGTAACTCGATTCGGTCAAGAACCGAGGGGTTGAGGAGGTAAATGCCAGCATTGATTTTGTTCCCCACGAATAGCTTTGGCTTTTCGACAAACCTCTCGACCTGCCCGGTAGATTCGTCCATGACAACGACCCCGTATTTCGAAGGCTCGTCCACCTATATGAATATGCAAAATTGATTTCTCAAAATGAGTCTTTGCTTATAATTGGTTAAAATATTTTGAAACTTAATTGATTAACAATACAAGTCCTTAACTATCATTATGTTAGAATCAATTAGTCGGACTTCCCTTCAAAATTCTGATATAGTGGCGATTACAAAAGCTGCCCTTTAGATTTACCTTAATGCGTGCGCACACCCACACACACGATCTATTTACTTTCCAAATCACCAAAAGGAGTAAGGGACAGTATAGAAAAAAGTACATAAAACGAGCTGTTACAAATTACAAGCATCCCCTCGAGATTTATATTTGTTGCACAAATTACACACAAAAACATTTCATTTTTCTGAAAAGATGGAGGCACATGCCAAGAAGGTATCTGGATTTTGAAATATTAAATTAGTTACTATAATTTCTTTTGTTCTATAGATTACCAAATGGTAATGTTACCTTGGTCACCATGATAGAAGCTTCGCCTCCATGAGATTTGTGGAATTCAATCATCTCCTTCAGTGGATATTCGCTGATAACATCACTGTTAAGAACGAAAAATGGTTCGCCAGAATCATCTATTAATTTGTCCCTTGCTAAAGCAAGTGGGCCAGCGGTTCCAAGAGGCTCTGTCTCTTGTGAACATGTAATCTTTATCTCGAGTTTTGCCTCAAAGTCTTTCAAAAAATTCAGCATTACCTGTAAAATTGGTCCTTTACTGGTAACAATATCCATTAATCTATATTTAGTTATTTACACACTTGCAAGAAGAAAAAGGCAATCAGCAGTTTACCTCTGGCTGATAATTAATTGCCAAGACGACTTCGGTTACTCCAATAGCCTTGAGGGCTTCTATCTGATTCAGTGTCAAATACAATGGTCGAAATGAAAATTAATAAAACACATGCACACATAGGAGCAAAAATAATTATCATTCCGTAAAGCAATATGTCTAAGGACTTAGTTTGGTCAGATTTTCAGTTTTAATTTGAGATATAGTATGACATAAACTTTCCTATAAGTTTTCGAGCTTCTTATCTATATAATCAAGGCTAGAAACTGGACTGCCAAGATAATTTTGAAGAATCTTTTATCATGAGGGGTAGAAACAATAACATGCAGGAAAAAAAAAATGGTTAAAAGGAGCAGACCAAATTGTAATTTGGCCAAAACCAGGACTAACTATGACTTTACATTTTTGGATCAACAGAGTATGCTTCACCTATCATTAACTTACCTAGAAGAAGGGATATTATTCAAGATATACTAAGCTAACTAAACCACAAGAAAACATCATTACCTGATGCAAAATCATAGGCTTGTTAGCAAAATCAACGAGTGGCTTTGGCACACTTAATGTCAGTGGCCTCAGTCTGGTACCAAAACCTCCAACAAGAATTAGTGCCTTCATCTTCACAGCAAATTATTTTTCTTTATCACCTCAACAACCTGAAAGAAAATTATACAACTGGAGTCCTTGAACCTATCCCTATTTATGCACGAAAATAAGAAGACCATGCAGCTCAAGAATATCCATAAATTGACATCTGTAATGGGGTGTAATGATAATGTCACACTCTCGTCGAAGTTGTTGGCTCTCCGTAACCGATTCACCATAAATTGACACGAACGCAAAATTGCATGTAGGAATAGTGAAACAAATTCATAATACGGAGGTGGAAAAAGAAAAAAAAAAAGGTACAAAACGTTAAAACCTTAGTTGAGGGGATCGAACATCTTGCATCACATGATAAATGAGTTGTTGGCTAGTCGGGATAATCCGTCCAAATTTACAGCTACACCACAGGTTGGACTTTAATTAGAGTGACGAAGCCAAATAATTTTAATGCTCACCACGAATGCACCATACCTCAGTGTTCTTTTTTTTTTTATTAAAAGAGAGTGGGTTCTATTTTCTACGGATTATGATTCTAATAAATTATTTATCTACAAACTCAAAATTTAAATGGTTCAAATGCCTAGCAACCGGGATCCTGAAACAAGATACGTGAAATGCGTTCAGAACGCTTTAATGAAACTAAAGTCTTAACACCAAACCCATTTAGTAAGTTGTAAAAGTAAATGGGAACATGGAGGGAATTTACTCCTGCTTTCAATTAAATTGTTTATAAGCTTGTCCTACAAGTTGGTTCTATGTTATCCAATATGGTTACATGGAGATAAATGAAATGAAGTGAATTTAGTGGATCAAACAAATCTAAAGGTTTTCACACGTGTATCTAGTAAAACTAGTAAGTTAGAAAAACTAAATCTTTGAAGTTTGATCACAAATGTCCAACATATAAGCGGCCGTAACTTCTTTCTTGTAAAAAGTTCGTCCCAATTCGTATTCAACAAAATTTAACTGGATTGTATATATTGCAACATAACAATACAGAGCACACGATTTACCCGCCAAAAACTCTATATCAAATGGAGCTCAATTGGATGTGCTACACAGGCAATAACACTAACACAAACTTTCCAGCTATAAATCTATAAGTGATGAAATCAGGACATATTTCATAAAATTAAAGAAAACCAGAAGCAAGTATTAACATAACAATCCATGAAAACCGCAATCGAATAATGTGCCAATTCTGGAAACCTTCAGATCCAATCAAACACAATAAAAACAGACACATTTAGACTATATCCCATGATCCCATCATCAATCAGACTCAAAACTCTCTTCGAAAAATCCACACACACACACACACACACACACACACAAAAATACAAATAAAATCAAAAGCCTTCAGATCAACAAACCATCCTCCAGAAACAACGAGATCACAAATTGCGTCCACATTGGTAGATCAAACAAAATGGTACAGAGCAATCCCAAAAGCTTATGCAGATCACATAATTCTGAGATAAACCCATATAAGAAATCGCCAAAGATGAAAAAAAAAATATAAAAAATTAACTAAAAAAGGCAATCCAATTCGATAAAAAGTTAAAAGAAATTCGAACCTGAAGGGTAATCCGATCCAATCCGATCCGAGCCAATCCTGGCAGTTTCAATGGTGATAATTAATAGTATACCCCCAAATCTGGTTCGGGGTGATTATTATTATTATTTTTTCTGTGTGCGTGTTGATGGCGGGAGCCAAAACAATTCTGCTGATGTACCAGTGGTTTACCTTACGGTCCTTACCTACGTTACGTAGCTGGATTTTGGAGACTACATTGCCCGCGATGAACGGGAAACTTTTTGTTTATTATTATTGGAAAATAATACAGTCCCGGGAATCGTAACGGGACCATTCCCTGATATCAAATTCGGGGAAATTTCACTTTTGGTACCCCAGGTTTACATACTTTTCGATTTTGATACCTATAGTTTCAACTTAATTATTTTCAGTCACTCAAGTATTCAAAATCCATCATTATTGCTCAAATCGTTAGTTGACCGTGAGCCAACTGATGGTCACCTTCTCTAGCAGGTCGTCTCCTTCTGCAAGTGATAGAAAATATCACGATGTCAAGGGAAAAAAAGTATCTGCCACATCACGATGTCTTCTTATTTTCCTCTACAGTGCACTCTGTCATGGGGAAGTTTTTTTCGACGTGGCATAACACCAGTCAAGCCCACTGTTTGCTTTCATACAGTATATTGGACAGGCTGACTCATGAATAAACGTGCTAAAATCTTTGGAATAGTGGGAAAAAACGAGAAATTTTTTCAGATTCGCGGGAAAATATGGCGGGCAAAAAGATTGAAGGAGAATCGATAAGTTGAGATTTTTCAGAGCAATGAAGATCGGGTACTACTCGCAGCCTCCGGAACATTAAATTTCCCAGGCCTCCAGAACCCAGCCTGAAGATCGAGTACTACTCGCAGGTTTTTTTCGTTCTCTCTCCATCATTGGCCGCAGTGTGAGGGACGAAGGGACGGTATGATTTTCTTCTGCGGCATTTGTAGGGTGCCTAGAATTACACATCAAGTTCTAATTTTTGAATGACAAATTATTCAACATGTATAGAAATTGATTTTTTTTTTATTAGCAGTAGGGTTTCCTGGTTATTTTCCCAATTTTATTTGAGCAATAACAAAATTGGGAAAATAACCAGTAAACCCTACTGCTAATAAATAAAAAAAATCAATTTCTATACATGTTGAATAATTTGTCATTCAAAAATTAGAACTTGATGTGTAATTCTAGGCACCCTACAAATGCCGCAGAAGAAAATCATACCGTCCCTTCGTCCCTCACACTGCGGCCAATGATGGAGAGAGAACGAGAAAACCTGCGAGTAGTACTCGATCTTCAGGCTGGGTTCCGGAGGCTTTGGGAAATTTAATGTTCCGGAGGCTGCGAGTAGTACCCGATCTTCATTGCTCTGAAAAATCTCAACCTATCGATTCTCCTTTAATCTTTTCGCCCGCCATATTTTCCCGCGAATCTGAAAAAAAATTCTCGTTTTTTCCCACTATTCCAAAGATTTTGGCACGTTTATTCATGAGTCAGCCTGTCCAATATACTGTTTGAAAGCAAACTGTGGGCTTGACTGGTGTTATGCCATGTCAAAAAAAACTGCCTCATGACAGAGTGCACTGTAGAGGAAAATAAGAAGACATTATGATGTGGCAGATACTTTTTTTCCTTGACAGCCTACACTAGGGATGCTCTAAAAACTAACGCATCTAATGGCTTATATTGATTTGAGGGAATCACCCCGTCATGGGACTGTAGTGTTCCTTTTATTACTATCAGAGGGCATTTAAATTGAAAATTATTTAGTGGTAAATCTTATTAGGTGTTTAGTTATTAGCTAACTATTTCTCAGGGTACATTAGAGCATGTTTGTTTATAAGATTTTTCAAAAATTTTCCCACATTTTAACTCAACTTTAACTCAACACCACTATCATCAATTTTATCAATATAATTAAATAATATCAATCAATCATTTATACACGCTACATCAACTTTAATTCACTATTCATCTTCTCACATAATTTTAACTAACCATCACATCACATCTTCTCTCTCCTACTTTTACTTCAATTTAATTTTAATTATTTTATTTTAAATATTATTTTAATATATCCACTAACAACTAACCATACCACATTTTTAAAATTAACCAAACCAAACCAAAAATCCAAACAAACTCAAAAAATTTCATAAACAAACATGCTCTTAGGCTTTTACTCTATTTTCATTGAATACATATGTGAGTGTGTAGAATCAAGAATGTGATCGTTGTAAGAGAAGGAATTTTTTTTTTTTTTTACAACAACATCCACTTTCTCTCTCTTCCGGAAAATCCCCAAATCAAATCAAACAAACCCTCCCGTCGATCTTCCGGTGCTTCCCCTGCGGGGCCTTCCAATCAATCGGAGGTTGCGCCCCTGCACCTCACAGGCCCGCAGACTGGAGAATAAGTCGAATGGAGGTGGGCTTCTTCGCCGGGGAGGAGGTGCTGCTCGTCATGGATCTAGGTCTCGTCTTGGTCATGGCGCCTGGACAGTGTGGCGGGCGGCCGAATCCTGGGATTGTTCGCGTTGGCGGTCCTCCGGCTTTTCTTCAGATGTGGGCGGCGACTTCAACCTCTCTGTTTTTGGGGTTTGGAGTGGAGGGCCTCGACCTTTCCACCGTGGTTCTCCTCGGCTCTGGTACTAGGCGGAGGGGACGGCCGGCGTCCTGGACCGAGGCCGGTTTCTGGTGCCGGTGTTGGTTGTTGGTGTTTGGCCGGGTGGTTGTGGTTTGGATTGTCTCCGGGTATAGGTGAGAAGTTCATTAGGATTGGAGTTGGGCCTGTTGGAACGGGACTCCGTTAGGCGCTCTCTTGCAGTTTCAGGGTCAAATTCTTGGGTCGTGACTTTGTCCGTGTTGATGGATTTCCAATGGTGTAGCTTTCGTTCCGATTGGTATGGTTTCCTGTAGCGGGAAGGATTGTTCCGTAGTTATAGTTTGTAGTTGTAGGTTTGTGTTCTTGTGTTTTTTCTTGTGTTCAGTTTGTGTCTTTATTGTTGTGTTTTATCTTTTTCTCTCCGGTTGGAAGTGAGTTTCGTGTATTCTCCTGTTGGGAGTTTTTTATTCTCTTGTTGGGAGCTTTTGATTCTCCCGTTGGGAGTGTTGTTAGTTGTGTTTTGTGTTGTAGTTGGCTCTAGGCTGCTCGGCTTGTACGGGGTAGTCCTCCCTACTGGGGTCAACTATTCAGCTTATTCGGTTGTTGGCCGTTATATTCGGCTGAATAGTTGTTCTCTAGTTTTGTTTTTATGTTGTGAATATATATGATTCCTATCGTTTCGAAAAAAAAAAGTAAGAGAAGGTATTTTTTTCTTCCTACTAATAATGAAAATGAAGTCTTCTTTTCTAATCTCGATTTCTATGTTTTCCTTTCAATGTATTGTTATGTTTTTTGGTTTGGCGCTCTACCATTGAACATTTCTATGTTT